TTATAGGCAGAAAACCGACATCGAAGTGAAACAAGATCGTTTTCATGCCTTTTGAATATGCATACATATGTATGTATATCCTTAATACGAAAAAACACTAACTTAGTGATCGTTTAATTTTGACAGTTTTCCTTTTGTTAAAAGTGTTGCATATTTTCTCCATACAAAGTGTGCTCAAACACGCTTTTTATATGAAAAAAAGTGCATGAGAAAAAAAGCCAAAAATCAACGGCAAGTCATGACACCTTCAAACTTACACTTTGTTCTACTAAATTTAAACGGGCTACAAAACTGCTTACCAAAATTTTGNTGCTTACCCAAATTTTGTCTAAAGAGGGTACTTAAAAAGTGAAATGTTTTTATAAAAATTTAGAGAATTTTCTTTAACTTTGCGCGAGGTTTGGTACTCTAATTTTTGGAGTTTTGTTGCTTATAAAGAATTAGCGAAAAAGAAAAACGGTAAAAAACATTTTCCGCATTGCAAAAAACTCTCTGNGAAATGTTTTTATAAAAATTTAGAGAATTTTCTTTAACTTTGCGCGAAGTTTGGTACTCTCATTTTTGGAGTTTTGTTGCTTATAAAGAATTAGCGAAAAATAAAACATGTAAAAAACATTTTCCGCATTGCAAAAAACTCTCTGTACTCAGTAAAGTGGATTGACTGTATGAATTTTTGCTATTTTGAAATTATCATTTAATTTGTATTCAAAAACATAATTTTTTATAAAATCTCAGCTGATAAATTGCAGCGAAGGTCACTTAAGACAAGTTTGAGGGCTGAAAATGAACGCTAACTTGCGTGGCTGAATAGCAGAGCTGTGTAAGTGTGAAATCCTTTTCAATTTTAAATCAACAATGTTTTTCTATTCAGTTTTCATTACTTATTCCTCGCTTAAGATTGAGGTTTATAATCTGTAAATTTTCCATTCACTCAAAGCAGTTATAAATTCACACATCAACATATTCATAGCAAGATTGAAAACACCAATGCCAAATCAAAATAAGGTTTAACACTGAATCAGTATTGAAAAGGCTGCAAGCTTTTATGTGTGTGCATTCTTCAATTCAGTACCAATAATTAGTTCAAAGGCAGCCTGGTAAACAACTTTTTGATAAAAATGCAGATTTTTGACAATTGCTCAATTGTAAAAAATCGAAGCGGTGTTACCCAATTTAAGTTTTTTGGTAGAGGGGATTTTATAAATTAGGGATTATATATAAAACAGTTGCATTAACATTTACCTTTTAAAAATAGTTAATATCTTATATTAAAAATGTTTAAATTTTACATTAAATTCGATAAACACTTCGCAAAAACTTTACATTTAGGTTAATAAAATTTTAGTGAACAAATTTTAAAAATATTTAGTGTCTTTATGCCATCTGATTATTTCACAATGTAACTAGCCAGGACTATTACAGTTTTCTATATCGGTTGCGATTGTTTCTGATATAATTCGATGACTGAAATTACGAATTTTGATGTGTAGTCTAATGCATATTTTGGGGATTCACAATTCGTGTTAGTCGTCGTAATGTCTTAAAGGCCTAAATTTATTCAATATAAAGTAACGGTTAAAAGCGATTTGAAAGATTCGTTGGATATAATAAGAGCCAATAATATATTTCCTACTAGTTTAAAAACATTTTTGTTATGTTAAAAAACGCCTAAAGAACGCAATGGCAAACCTTCGAGTATATTTCGGCCTTGAAAACACTTCTTATAAAATCATTTGGTGTTCGGAGTGAGCCTTAAATATGTACATAGGTGTCTCCATTTGTGCCACAGCAACAGAACTCATGCCTCAAGTTTGAGCGGAAGCTCGGCCAAACACTTAGAAAAATATTTTAGCATCAAATATTTATTTGTTTACTTATTTTAAGGAAGATGGAAATCTTCTGGTTTCACATTTTGAGTACAAAAATCTCAACCCTGATACAACAAATAGTATTAGTACTGAATGATAATGACAGATTGCAATTACATAAACGTACAATCATACATGATTGAGTTTTTTTTTGCATTCACATTCTCTATGTGAATGGGCGTCAACCATTCATAACACACTACATATTTTGTGTTTACAATTTGTAACTAATCTCAAGAGAGGTTTTTAAACTTTTTAAATCAAACAATCACATTTTGGAAACGACAAAAATGAGAATGCATACTCAATTGATTCAGTCATTACACAGCTCTGCTAAATAGATATTGGTGTGTAGCTAACAGTAAAATTTTCAGAACAGGTAGCCTTTCAGAGTAGAGACGCCGTTTTTAAATCGAAGATCGACAAATCGCTGTTTTGTCGATTTTTTAGTTCCTTTTCGATTCGTGAATCGATTCAAAAAATTCGAATAGAATTTTGGTAAAAAAATTAAGGGGCTTGGCGACTCCCACCTCTCCAACTAGAGAGATCAAAGACCAAAGAACCTAATGACCTCCCTCTCTTTATTCGTCTACAGGACTTCTTAGGGAAACCTATTGAAAATCGTCGTCACGCCCATTATCCAGAAATTTATATGAATCTAATTTTCTTATAAGTGGCTATTGCAATCATGGGTTTTAGGAGAATTAGTTTCAGTAGTTACTGATTTATCCAAGTTTCTTTGTTTCTGTAAATTACCATTATATGAAAAGTGGGCGTGGTTATTGCCCGATTTCAGAGATTTTCAAAAGCTGGACCCTTAGTAAAGCTGGTACTGAGTTTGGTAAGGAAGGGTGAAACGGCTACTTAGATACGGCATTTTATCACGGGGCGAGGTTACGCCCATTTTATAGAACCTTCATAATACTATTTTCTATCAAAATTCTACTGCACATACTCTTTTTAAACAATTTGGATCCAATATTTACTGAAATATCGTAGTTATTTCATTTTTGAAGATACCGTTATAAGTGAAGTGAGAGAGGATACAATCTGATTTCGCCCATTTTCAATACCAACCTACCTCGGATAGGGGGCAACCTACATACCAAATTTCGTTGAGATATCTCAATTTTTGCTCGAGTTATCGTTATGGCTTAATCGACTTCTCTTTTCATTCTGAGCATTTATGTATGTATACATTTGTCTATATCTCTCTCGATTCTTTTAGGCTGTTACAAATAAGCGTTATGCGAACAAAGTTATAACACCCTTGCAACCAAGTGCGCTAGGGTATAAAAATAGGAGTTTTTAAATTTTACCCGATGAAAACTAAGTACCAACAAGCTAAGTCTAACAATATATTATTATACATCATTTTAAAGGTATATACATAAATTCCTTTTTCAAACCATGTTTGATTTTCAAAATCGAATGAAAAATATTTAGTCAAGCTTTTATTAGATAAGTGCATAGTATGAAAATAACGGTTATTTTAAATTAAATAAAAATGGAGGTTTCAGGAACTATAGGAAACCTATTTTCAGGTTGTAGTTGATCCTACCTACAACCTACATTAAGTTTTGTTTCGTGTATATTTCGTGTTATTGGTTTCGAGCATTTATGACGTTTGCAAGCAATTTGATTTTGAAGTTAAACTCACACACACATTTCTTTTCCAATATAATTACGAAAGTAAGAAAAAATCAAATTTTTAATCTAGTTGGTGCAACGTGCATGAGTATGTACATGCCTATGTAGATATGACACATGCACACGGCATGAAAACGAACTTGTTTCATTTCCATACCAATTTTCCGCCTATAAGTTTATCATTTCAAACGTTTCGTTTTTATAGGAAGATAACACATGATAAAGGGTATGCTCTTATAAAATTCAAGAAAATAAAAATCAGGTAGCAATCATTATTCTTGAGCGGAAAAAATAAAAATCGCAAGATAATCATTATACCTGAGCGAAAAAAATAAAAATCAAAAGTAATCATTATGTTCAAGTGAAAATATAAAACTCAGAAGCTGAGTATTATTCTTGAGCGAAAAAATAAAAATCGCAACATAATCAGTATTCTCGATCAAAACCATAGAAATCAAGAAGTTATCATTATTTTTGAGCAAAAAAATATAAATTATATAATAACAATTACATTCGAGCAAAAAAGTAAAAATCAACAAATAATTATTATTTATGATTAAAAAAATAAAAAAACGGATAATAATAATTAAATGTTGATATTAATATTTTTTAATAATATTTTTTAACTTATAATGATTACCATCCTTGATAGAAAGGGTGGAGAACGGTAAAAAACTCAAAGTTAATTATTTATGTTAATGCGTGCGCTTATTTATTTTGTCCCTCTGTGCTATTTTATATTTTTATTACACTGTGCTATCTTTGCTTGTACAGTGCAATATTGAGCAAGTTGGGGAAGTATGTACGCGTTCAATACATATATGCGGCTATCGAATGAGAAAAAGAGAGCTAAAGAAGCGCGTATTTATGCACGTACGTATGTATGTAAAAGTGACTTTACTTTTATAAGGGCGGCTGGTATTTTATTTAGTCAGTGAAATCAAGTGGATCAAAGGGATGGCCAAATTAATGGTGATAATTTTGGCATATGTAAATCTTAAATTTACTCTGCTATTTAATTAAGTTCATGAATATGTATATACATACATACATACATATGTATGTACTTCTTTTTTTGTTGTGTTTTAGTTGCACCCTAATATATTTATTCCTTGTGATGCTGTATTGTTTTAGCGCTTCTAAAAGTGTGTTTGCATTGTTCAACTTTGCGTTCAACATTTGCGTTCAACTCAGCGCAGGGTTGCACGAAAAAAAAGTTGAATGGCTAAAAATATCAAAATATGAAAAAATATCAAAATATTCGCCATAAAAAGGTGTTTGCATTGTTCAACTTTGCATTCAACTTTTGGTTGAATGGCCATTCAACTAATCGCTTTCAACAAAGTTGGTCGCCAGCCAACATTTAGCCATTCAACTTTTTTTTCGTGCAACCCTGCGTTGAGTTGAACGCAATTGTTGAACGCGAAGTTGAATAATGCAAACACTGCTTAAGGGCAATATTTTTGATGAAAACACAAGTGCAAGTACATATGTACATAAGTTTAGTATGAGATCCAATGTCTTAGCTATGTGACTGGGCTAGCGGGTAATTAGACAAAACGGGCAAGTATTTAATGTATATGTATACATTCATACATATGTACCTGAGGGGAGGTGTACATATTTTTCAAGCGCAACTGGATAATTACCGAGTTAATGATGGCATATGTATGTATATATTTATATATGTAAAAGCGCCGTACAAGGGGGAAATTGCCCGATAAGAAATTCGGGACTTATGTGAATTTGAGATGGCTTTGTGTTTATATGCAATGTAAGTTACGCATGTGTATTTTTTATAGTTTTTTTTTCCAAGAGGGGAAATATGTACAAAAATGCGCGGGAATTATGAGTACATATATGTTTGAGTTTTATAATTATACCTCGTGGGGAACACTATGGCATTTATATCAGTGCCCGCCAAACACTTTCCTGGGAAACGAACTATATTCGGCCTTTCACATGTACACAATCGGCTTCTTACACGTACACAATCCGAACGTCAACAGAAAGAGTAGAAGAGCAACAAATTTTATTTAGTTGCATGCAAACAATAGGCGAAGCAGGTTGGTGACGCATTATTGTTGAATAAAGTAGATACACTGAGCAGAATGAATGTATATTCGTTCAAAAATTTTATAACACAACTTTTCGTACATACACCCCTAGAGATAGGTATGTATATGGTGGTACCATCGTGGTCGTTCTTTTTCTTCACATTAAAAGAACTTTGTGAATTATGTATTTTTTTTTTAATACCAGACTAGTCCTCAATTAAAACATACAATATGTTTTGTTATTTATCTTTTGGTTTAATCGTTATTTTAAATTGCTCTTAAATGTCAAGTTTTACCTAATTTTAAAATAAATATATATTAGATATATATATTTTTATTTTATTTCTACTTGAAATCAACGAAATTTTCTTTTAATATTCAGAGTGCTCGAAGCGCGTTATCTTTTTTGCTCAGAAATCCACACTTAAATTATAAAAAAATAATAATAATTTTGTACAATACATACAAAATTTTACCAACTTTTTCCTTTCTTAAGGCCGTTAACTTTCATTATATGCTTCTATGTTGTTTAGATCTAAAAAAAAAATAGCGCCCAATGAAAAAAACGGCAAAAAAAATACCAAAGTTTTTATAATAAGTAGTACAACACAGAAATTTTTTTCCGTGCATTACCACCAACACATTCTCATTTATTGTTTCATAACTAATACATGCTCATTTTAAGACTTTTCTCTTTTTGGCGGGCACTGATTTATATACACAAACATACGTATAGTATATGAAAATGTGAACGCAGTAAATTTTGTGGGTACCACCTGTATACATATGTATGTATCTACATACGTATGTAAGTTACCTTCTCTGGAACCGTACCGCTGATACCTTAATCTGCCTGTCGCTGTTGTTAAGTTGGTGCTTCTCTGACCGCTGCGGGTATTGTTGATGTTGCTGTCGGCCACCTTCACTGCGCCTTTTGTTTATGAAGTGTATATATTTGTGCATCTGTTTGGGAGGGGCATTTGGCGCAAATATGCTGCTCGCGCCGGAAAAAGAAAGAAACTTTTCTGGTTCTTATTTGAAAATTATTATTTTTTTTTGTACTGTATATTAGTTTTTTATTTTAAATTTCACTGTATTTGGCTTTTTTAATTTTCCGTTAACGTTTCGTCTCTTTTTTCCGGTGCGGAAAGATTATTAGTTTTGTTTTTCGCGGTTTAAAGATTTTGTATTTAGTTTTTTACATACATATGTACACTTTATTTAATTTCACTGAGTTTTTTCGTGTTGACTTTTGTTTCGCACACGCGTTTTCCGCCGCACTGCCTATCGGTTATTTTGCATTTCAGGTGACGATATGTATGTACGCTTATGAGGGGGAGAGTTCGTCGCCAGGCCGCGGGTCGCCTTTTTAGGGACGAAGGACCATGTTTAGGTTTTTGAGTAGGTAAAGGGGAGCGCCGGGTGCACCTGAGGAATTTAATAAATAAAACACCGAGGATTCTAATTGAAATTAAAAACGAGTTCATATAATTTATTAAGATTATTTCATGTCGATACAATATCGGTATTTGAGAAATAAAAATTGCCCGAGTGGCTTTTCCGAAATATAGCGAGCTATGCGGTGCGGCGGCGTTGATGATTAAAGAGTAACTAACTATTTATTTATGTATACAACTGCAATGACAACTAAACCAAATCAATCAATTCACAATAGTATGCACAAAGAGTTGCCAGCCGCACGCAGATTAACAAAAGGGATTAAAACTAGGTTTACAATTCTAAGAGATTGAGGCTCATGTCCTCAACACAGCGGGAAAACGTTATTCACACCATGCGAACAACAAAATCGTTATTCAAGAAATGAAAAACGTTCTTTAACAGCGTCTAGAATCAAATATATGCTTGAATTCCGCTGGGGATTTGTACAATCTACTCCTCAAAAGATTTTTCTCGTATTCAAAACAGAATGATACCGTTTTGAAGTTTAAATATATCCAACTTCACAAAAAGGAAGAAATAATGAAAAATTTTAGTAAAAATGTCCTTAAACTCTATACCACAAAGCGTAAAACAAATAAAATTATGCAATAGAAATACAAGAAAATATATACCAAGAAATAATCGATAACCTAGAGTTTCTTTCTTTGCACATATAAATATTTTATATGAGAATTTCAACATACTGGTACATTAAAATTATCTTGTTACAGAATAATGCATATTTATAAGGTTTTATATAGAGTAAAAATTCCTGAAGTGGCCCCCTAAATTTTCACAAAGTAACAAATATTGCAATAAGTATTTGCATTTCTTAGCTTGAGTATCCACAAATACATCAGCAAAATATTTGGCCAGTATTCGAATTTTTATATACTTTTTTTTTAATTTAATATTTATGCACCTTATTTTTGTAATAATTATTGCGACCAAAGTTTTCATGCGATTTTCATGAAACTTTGTGAGTACGTAAAAGAACTAGTTTTATGAAAATTGGTATGATTAAAATTTTTAATTTTTTTTAATTTTTTTCAAACTTTTTTTTTTAAAATTTTTTTTTTTTTTTTTTTAATTACTCGTTGTGATTTTAATCACGTTTAGGTGTCAAAATGCTCCTTACAATATCTTTTGCTAATGTGCTCAAAAAAATTTTTGTGCAACCATACGGCTCTTTAGATATAAATTTTTTTTAACATATGCCAACCACTATTTGTGTACTAATATCACAGGTTTACAAAAAAAAGTGTATGCATATTAAACGAAATCTATATATCCCTATGTTATTCGATACGCTGAATGCAAATCCGAGGTCCGTTAGCCTCCATCACGTGAGGTGCGTGGTCAGTTGAAGGTCGAGTAGGGAAAATTATTGAATAAACCTGAATGAGAATGTGTGTGAAAGTTGTGAGTTCTGAATTTTTAGATTATATCCATGGTGGAATAATAACAAGCTGTTGTCAGTAGCGACGTGTTTGTTGTGATTTTGACAAGATCGGCATGCTTATTTTCAGTGCTGGCGATCTTAATTTTTATACTACTATTCGTTGGGAAATAGTATCTAAAATACTCCATTTTAGTAATTCGTTTTATCGCGATTATTAAAGAAGAAGGTGTTTTCAGAACAATATTAATATTTAAAATTGCTGGATTTATATAATTTTTGTCCTCCAAATGTAGAATATTAAAAGATATCGTGGTTTTCATTGGAAAAAAACGTACACGTATGGAAAGGCGATTTTTTATATTAAATAACTTTTGCTGCATTGTCATAATATTGAGCCAAATGAACTACTGATACACTAGAATAGAGTGGCTGCATGGTTAAATTAGGAATTCGCTTATATTATCGATATTTTATAATATTTTACGGCTTTTACTTTTTTAAAGTTGCAATATACGTCCAAGCTGTGTGGAGCTGCCGATACAAACATATATTCAGGCCTATAAGCCTGTAATTATACATTTTTCTACATTTAATTTGAAATAGTATGCACCAACGGATTAGAAGTAGTAAATAATTAGTACATTTACATTAGTACCTGCCGAAAAAGTGAGGTTAAGTTACTGACAACACCTTGTTATTATTACACCATGTGCAAGACCCATAAATATAAACTTCAACTTCTTTTGTTTTTATTTCCTATATTGCGTTACTCGTAGAATGTCAAGTAGCTCTGTTTTGAATGCTAGTTAATAGCATGGTACAATAATTACAGGTATTGTCTTCCGATCTGTCTTATTTAAAAAAATATCATTGTTGCCCACACTAAAACGTTTACTACTTGGGAAAAGGGATATTTCCATACCCCATATCTACTATATATTTGTGGAAGTATGTATGTATGTGCCAGGTTGCAGTCTAAAGGGACGGACAGAATCGAACAAAATTTTGACAGTGTATTGCCATGACACCTGGGCCTACAATAGGCTGAAAAAATTGGGATCCTACAAGGGGGCGTGGCACCTACCATAGGTGTGAAAGTTTTAATCATCCATAACTTCCAGACCATAAGTCACATGTACTTGAAACTTGGTATGCAGACATATCTATGGTAGGTGCTTATAGGAGGGTATATATAAACGAGTTTGTAAAAAGGGGCGTGGCTTTTTTATATCAGCTATAATTTCGGCACCATAAGTCACACCAACTTTAAATTTGGTTTGCAGACATATCAATGGTAGGTGCTTATAGGAGGGTATATATAAACGAGTTTGTAAAAAGGGGCGTGGCACATCCCATAGGCGTGGAATTTTTTATCAGCTATATCTTCGGAACCATAAGTCCCACGACCTTGAAATTTGGTATGCAGACATATCATTTCTAGGTGCTTGCNCAGAATCGAACAAAATTTTGACAGTGTATTGCCATGACACCTGGGCCTACAATAGGCTGAAAAAATTGGGATCCTACAAGGGGGCGTGGCACCTACCATAGGTGTGAAAGTTTTAATCATCCATAACTTCCAGACCATAAGTCACATGTACTGGAAACTTGGTATGCAGACATATCTATGGTAGGTGCTTATAGGAGGGTATATATAAACGAGTTTGTAAAAAGGGGCGTGGCTTTTTTATATCAGCTATAATTTCGGCACCATAAGTCACACCAACTTTAAATTTGGTTTGCAGACATATCAATGGTAGGTGCTTATAGGAGGGTATATGTAAATGAGTTTGTAGAAGGGGGCGTGGCACATCCCATAGGCGTGGAATTTTTTATCAGCTATATCTTCGGAACCATAAGTCCCACGACCTTGAAATTTGGTATGCAGACATATCATTACTAGGTGCTTGCAGGAGGGTATATATAAAGGAGTTTGTAAAAAGGGGCGTGGCACATCCCATAGGCGCGGAATTTTTTATCAGCTCTAACTCCGGAACCACAAGTCTCACGAACTTGAAATTTGGTATGCAGACATATCAATGGTAGGTACTTATACGAGGGTATACATTAGGGCGGGTCGATTTAAAAATCGCCCATTGCTCTGTGAAAATCATATTCTAGGGATCAAAATAAGAAACTTTGCCGAAGGAACCATACCTCTAAAACGAATTCTGATGTCCCCCAATTTGGGTCGAACTTTTGGGTAGGGGCAAATTTTGAAAAATCCCACTTTGACCCATTTAGAGTGCTCCAATCGAGTCCAAATGTATGACCGACCCCCACTAACTTTGGACGGCCGATCCACCCATGCCAGTGGCACACCCCCTGGAACTCCCCTGGGGGGTTCCCCATACAATCATTTCAAAAAATCACCATTTTTGGCCTTTACATGAAAAAATCAGCTAAATGGCTATGTTTTTTCTTTATTTTTATTTATTTATTTATAATA